AATTCATTCCCTAATCGATGTATCTTCTATTCTGTTCGTTAGAAATTAAAACTTTTTCATTCAAAAACACTGGGCATACCTTTTATATTATATTACTATATTGCTAATGCATTGCTACCTTTTAAAAGCTATTTCAAAATAACTGTGAATTGATCTCAAACGTTGGTTATATCCTTTGCAATAAGAAAACAGTTTTGCGCGTAACTTGCATGAGGTTGTTTGTAGATAAGTTATTTATTACATATGGCAGGCGTTTTGATAGTTGTCATTAGCCCTTTAGTTGACTTCAGGCTTCACAGAGAGGGGGAGGAACAGCAAAGAGAAAAAAAATCGGGAGGGAGTAAACAGAAGTGTTTCAAAGGTAGAAAAAAGGTGAGGTGAGTACTGTGAAAGTGGTGGAGTATGACATACAGTGGGGTGATGGTAGTTTGGAGTCAGAAGTCAACTGCTTGTTAATAGACTTTTTTGCCCTATGAGTATACGTTGCCCAGGTGCACCACATGTTTGTAGATAATAGAAATGCCTTTTATTATGTAAAATAAGATACTAATCGAGCGTGAAAGTTTAGATAGATAAAAAAGCATATATTTGATTTCATTCACAGTGTTTTTTATTTTTGGAATTGATCAATGTAATGAAGAAAATTGAGAAGTTTCAGAATGCCATCTCCATAACCAAATTCTGTACCAATATACTCGATTGTAAAACTCTTTATGATAAAAATTAAACCTCTAATGAAAATAATAGAAATACAATCTTTGAATCAATGCTTCTGCGTAAGTTAGCTCATAACCTTTATAATCTCGAAGTAATCTAAGTGTGTATAAATTAGTGAGTAAAGGGTTGATTGAAACAAAAACAAAAGAATGAGGTAATCAGCTCGTTGTAAGATTTATTTAGCAGGTTGGGGTATTTTTAACTAAATTTTGTTAATTCTGTCTAATGATTAATGACTTAGTTAATGGCGTTTAAAATTGCGGGGACTATTTTTGACAAGATGTTTTCAAGGTCGACGTTAAGGTAGAGTGTTAGAACACAGCTAATCAGCAAGCACAGATCCTTTTATCAATACTCATTAAAATCAATTTACCCCACTAATCTTGGTATCTCTACTACTGTCTTCAATGCTAGATTTTCAAACTTTCGTTTAAATATTCTACTTTTTAGAGATTCTACTTAAAAAACTAATGAAATATTTATATTTTCGCACGTTTCTGACTTTTGCTTCTTAAACTTCATCCCTTACCGATCAACTCACAATCCCTCCCTTTGTGGCTTTTCCTATTTCCTGCTTTGAAGC